ATAGCCATGAATCACGCAGATGATGCTGACATTTCTACCACTGCCATACAATCTTTCTTGGGCCACCATTTCACCTGTCTTCTTTATTCGTAAGATAGACATTCTCAAACCACCAGGAAGGAGACTTAGCCTGTTATGTTTGGTCTTTCACCATCTCTTCTTATTCTTATTTCATTTTTCGGTTTCACTCAACTTTTTGAAGCACACGAGTATCATAACCTTGCAGCAAAGCATTGTGGGAAGCTACAGATTCTGTCTAGGGGTGACGAGTGTTGCTGTGAGCCTGTGTCATTATAATATGTTGCTCTGACCACTGTAAGCCTGTGTCATTATAATATGTTGCTCTGACTACTGTAAGCCTGTGTCATTATAATATGTTGCTCTGATCACTGTAAGCCTGTGTCATTATAATATGTTGCTCTGACCACTGTAAGCCTGTGTCATTATATGTTGCTCTGACCACTGTAAGCCTGTGTCATTATAATATGTTGCTCTGATCACTGTAAGCCTGTGTCATTATAATATGTTACTCTGACCATTGTAAGACTGTCTCATTATAATATGTTGCTCTGACCACTGTAAGCCTGTGTCATTATAACATGTTGCTCTGACCACTGTAAGCCTGTGTCATTATAATATGTTGCTCTGACCACTGTAAGCCTGTGTCATTATAACATGTTGCTCTGACCACTGTAAGACTGTCTCATTATAATATGTTACTCTGACCACTGTAAGACTGTGTCATTATAATATGTTGCTCTGACCACTGTAAGCCTGTGTCATTATAACATGTTGCTCTGACCACTGTAAGACTGTGTCATTATAATATGTTGCTCTGACCACTGTAAGCCTGTGTCATTATAACATGTTGCTCTGACCACTGTGAGCCTGTCATTATAACATGTTGCTCATCCATCAGCTACTTAGTCGTGCCCATACTCCATAACCCTATTGTCTACACCTGCATGGGTACAGTGCAGTTTTACAGGTTTTGTTCTCGTTTCATGACCAAACAATCTGTTCTATACCTTTTTATGCAACCACACATTCATATATTGTTGCAGTTGATTTGTATTTGTTGATTTTGCTTCTGTTGATTTTGAGTGGTTTTGTCATCAATTAAAAAACTTTAAAAACAATTCAAACATCCCATAAAGACATTAAAAAAGAATAAATGTAAATAACCTAGCAGGAACTATTGTAGTACTATGTTCCACAGCGGATATTGCAAAATTATAATGAATAAAACGAAATAATAATTTTGTAACTAACATATATTAAATACTTATAAATTACAAGCAGTAAATCGGATTAGGAACATTTGCATTTCTGTCCATCATGTATTCTGGTGTGCAGGGTAATGAGCAAGCTGATAGATTGGCTGCTGCTGCTCCTCGTGGCGGTGCACTACTTTATGATAAAGCATATATAGTGAAGGTTCTCTGGGAGCATCAAATGGACATTGCAATAGAACATAGTGAGAATCCATACACTGAAAGACTAATTCAATCGTGGGGGGAAAAGGGGGGGGGGGGGGGGGGGGGGGAGGGGGTGAGTAAAGCTTCTGGAAGATACTGAACACTGAAGAGAAAACACAGGCGGTCTTTTAATCAGGTTGCAACTGGTACTATTAGCATATCAACTCTTCATTGGCTACTGAGAAAGGAGACAGAGCATGTGTGGGATTGTTCCAAGTGCAGTGATTTGAATTCTTGATTTAATAAATCATTCAAGCATTACTTCTCTTTCTGAATAACAAATTCCAATGTTTCTTATATAATCACTATATAGCAGGTTCTTAGCAGAATGCTCAAAATGGCAATGGCTCGGTCCCTTGGCAACCTTCACTCTTTGTGAACTTTCATGCCCAAGGTGGCCTTGGTATCCTGCATCTGTCATGCTGGTCATTCCCTGCCTCTTCTCCCAGAGATCATAACCTAATTTCTGTTCTCTCCAAACCATTATGTCAAGCTAGCACAGCCAAAGTATTTCAGTTTATAAGAACTGATACTTCTTCCTTTTCTTCTTCTTGGCGTTCGCCAATCATAAACTGCAGTGAACAGTTCTGCTTGTTTATTCACTTCTGGACTTTAATCTTGCTCCAGAACTTGGGCCTGGCGTGCACTATTGTTTAACAGATCTAGTTTATTTGTATGCAGACTGCTGGCTCATCACCTCAGGCAGGTGCACTCTGACTTGGAAGGCAACACTCCTATATAGTCAACTTTTATGAGCCCTAAACATCTAGAACTGGCCCTAACCCGACGTCCCACGAGAGAGTGCAGCCTAAGTCCCACGAATGCATGCAGCCTAGGTCCCACGACTGGATGCATCCTATCTACCACCCCCTGAAAAATTAGACTGTCCCATGACCTGTGGATTATTCCCCTGAATGTGGTAGGATATTAATATAGCACCTTGTGTTGTTATAAAACTTGAGATTTACATTCACATCCATTTTACAGATCTGGCTTATTTATATGCACTAGGACTTCGACGGAAACAATCTTAAATAGTCTAATTTCATTACATGCATGTTAGGAGGCAGGGGATCTATTATCCCCCTCCCCACCCCCTCTGACTGAAGCCACAGAACCCATACGGGGAAAACGCAGTACCAGGAAATCCATGTGTTTACTGGCAGCTACTTGAAGTTGTTTGTATATCCTTTATAGGACGCAGTAAAACCAGCCTCAGCATTTGTTGTCTGTGGTTTTACTAGGTAATTTTGCATTCAGTAGTTTGTCATTGCTTTCTGAGGGGTCAGCTCTCCATATCAAAGTCGAAATAAATGCAAGGCAGTCTGCTGCTAATTCACCTGCAACTGAATTGAATTGGGTATGTCAGAACTACAAATTGTGGTCCTAAGCCACAGCCATGGACAAGTAGTATTTTTCTCAACTCTTTTAGTAGCAGGCAAGTGTCACTTTAACTCATGTCTTTGAGGAAAGTTGTTGCCCTAATCCTGTCACCTTAGAAGGCTACCCCTTGCTACATTTGGCTGAGACACTGCCCCATAAATCATTTCTGCAGTGACCTGTTCTCGAAAAGTGTTTTTAAATACCACCAGTTCTATGTGCACCTGCATAGAGTTTAGGAGACCCACATGTGAATATATTAATGAAATATAGCATTTACAGGGAGTTTTCTTGTAAATCCAGTAAATTCTTTTTTAAAAGCCACAAAAAATTTAGCTATAAGCCTCAGTGATACAGGTCACAGCACGAGTCACCTATTACATATCTGGTTTAGACCCCCAGGGAAAGCATTCCATTTAATGCTTCATTCTGTTCGTTAACTGATTACCCCCCTTTATATATCTTTATATACTTAGTAAAGTAAGTAAAGATCCTTTTCCACGCCTTCAGGTAAATTGGGTATATAGGGCTAGACCTATATTTCATACACCAAAGGGCACTTGGTGGGTGATGTGGTCAGCATCACGTTTGCCGACTTTACTTCCCTGGACTGTACCTCAAACCTAATCAAGGCTGGGAGCCAAGGTCATTGTTGAAAAAAGTCTGACCCCTGTCAAGATCTGAACCAGGACCTTCCGATCCGCAGGCGAGCGTCTAGACACTAGACCATGGCAGCTGCCATCTTTATATACTGGGAAACTAAAATTTAAAACATGCAGACAAATAACTTTTTAAATAATTTATTAATTATCTGTGCAAAATAGTTTTTAAAAAAAAGGATTTTAGTTTCGGAAATTTTCATAGGTTCATGGCTCATTTCTATTTAGTAAGTTTTCATAGGGTTTAAGTTATAAGGATTAAGTAATAAATGTTTAGATCTGAGGAATTAATATAACAACATCTTAGGATGTGTAGATTTAAGATAACAATTGTGTCAGTGGATTAGAGTAACAAATGGATGGATCACAGGGAGAACACATCATTATATTGTGTTATTGTTACTAAATCAGAGTCTTCTTCTTGCTGTGTGGTACTGGTAGTCATGTCCATCCTCAACCTTCTGTCTTGTTTACTTTCAGTGAATACTTACAGAGATCATCTTCTATGGCATGATGTCAAACTATCCAGCATCTCTCTCACCTCCTTCTCCTCCAACTTTCCCACCGAGATGATGTACTCTAATTTTCTCCTTCTCATGACATGACCAAAGAATTCAGATTTTATCCATCTGATGTGGGCAGCCATTTCTGTTTGTAAGCCAATTTCTTTTGGAAAATCTTTATAACTCTCTCTATCTGTTCTCGTCATCATCTATATATCAAAGCCACCTGAGCACAGTTATGATGATTTCTATCCAAGTGCATTTTCAAGACTTTTATTTGCCACTTAACTACAAGCCAAGACAATCATGTGAATTCCTTGTTCAAATAGCTAAAAATGAAGTTTTTTTTTTTTGCGTTCATCGGCTGTAAACTCCGGCGAACGTTCTGGTTGTTCAACTACCTCTAGATGTTAGACTTGTTCGACAACCTGCTTGTTGCATGCACATCTGTTTTACAGATCTGACTTATTTGTATGCAGACTGTTGGTTCCGTGCCTCTTAGACAGATGCACTCCGACTTCGAAGGAAGTCCCCAGTTAGTCGACTCTTACAGCATGCGTGTTGGGGAGGCAGTGGGTCTATTATTGTCCCCATAATGTGGCCCTCGGAACCCAAATGGGGATAAAAATTAAGTATTATTTAATGCAACTACACAATTTTCTTTTGCCATAATGTTGAAATGTGCTCTGACTTCAGAGGAAAAAATGCCTTATCAGTCGCCTTTTAAGGCAAGCCTATTAGGGAGGTAGTGGGTCTATTCTTTCTTCCCCCAAAATGAGACCACAAAATTCACACGAGGAGCAGTAAGGGTTTGACATTGGTAGCACAGAGCTGCCCCCAAATGATTCGTATTTGATATATTTCACATGAAATCATTTATACCCAAAATTACACCTTGTAATATTAAATAATTAGCAAAAGTTATATTGATAAAGCTGATACATCTCAGGGGGAAAAAACTGCAAGATTACACAGCAGAATCAATGTATGGTCATGTGTCGCCATCTTTCCTTCTTCTTGCGAGCGATCTCTCGTAACTTGATTTTCTGAGCAACCTCATCCGGACTCAGAGACAAAAGAGTTGGGGATGGTGGAGTAGCAGGAGCCGGAGAAATGTCTGAAGCCGCTTTTGGAGTCTGGCTTTGATCAAAATGGGATTTTTCCTGGATCACTTCCAGAGAGGTTGGTATTATCTTGGTGGTGACCCCACTGGCTTTGATCTTGTATGAAATAATCGTATCTTTGATTTCACTGGCTTCTAGAGGTTCAGCAGATGATACGAGGGCAGGTATGGTTCCGTTAGTTGATCCCCCTACTTTTGATGACGAATCTGTGAGTCTGCTATGGTAAGGTATGTATACTGGTGTGTGGGTTGTTACTGGAGATTCTGATATAGGATCAAGTGCAGTTTGACGAACAGGTTCTGCTTCATCTTTAGAATACAGTTTAAGTGCACTTTGAATAGCCTCTTTTCCTATCTCAATTGTATGTCGTCTGTTAACGCCATCTGTGAACCTTGAGCGCATCCTGCTCCGAGATGGCTTTAGTTGACTTTCTTTCGTAGGCTCTTCATTTTGTTGAGCCAATTTGGCAGACGTGACTTGTTCAGGTGCTGGTACCGACTCTGTCAAATGTTTGGTTTGGTTCACAGTTGTGGTAATATTTACCTCTCCCATTGAAGGTGAAGAATTTGAGCTAGAGTTTTCTGCAGCTTTTGGAATGTCTGTAACAATACTGGTTGAGGCAGTGGTATCTGAGCTGTTGCTAAGTGCGCTGTATCTTGAGTATAATCCATAGCGGTTAGGTCTGGCTGGCACTTGCTGCATGGATTCCTTACTCTTTTCAATGACATTCATTGGTGAGGTTTGCATGGGTGAAGTTGCATCTTTCAGAACTACTCGCTGGCTTCCGTAAGAGATAGAAGGCGATTCATTTGCAGGAAGTTCTACTGATGATCTTGTGTGAATACTTTCAGCATGTCTTAAGGTGCTTTGTATACTGGACCTTGTGCTTTCTGTGGGTGCAGAGGTGCTTGTTACTCTTGGCCTAGTGTTAAGACTCTCTACAGGTGTGTACGTACTTGTGGCACCAGAAATGGCAGTAGCAGTTGTGGTGACAGCAGGGGTGGTGATACTACTTGTAGCTTGGTTGTTGTACCTTGAGTACATCCCAGTGTACCGATACTGTCTCACCAGATTCTCTGGTTCTGGTCTATTTGTTTGTTCACATTTGTTGAACACATTTTGTTGGTTTTGATTTTCATTCTGCTCTGTGGTTGGGGGACTTTTACTTTCAGTCTGGTATCTGGAGGCATATCTGTATGTGGAGGTGATGGGTTCTGCAGCTCTGCTACTTTCTGGAAGTGATGTATTTCCTGCTGTGGTGCTAGCAGCATGTGTCGTTGTATAGTGTGTGCTGTAGGTTGTCTTTGAAGGTTGGTCATCCAGGTGTAGTTGACTTTTACTTTCAGTCTGGTATCTGGAGGCATATCTGGATGGTGCAGATGTTAACCTTGTGGCTGTGGGACTGGTGGGTTCCACAGCTCTGCTACTTTCTGTGGGTAATGTATTCCCTGTAGCGATGCTAGCAGTGTCTGTTATTGTAGACTGCGTGTACGAGGTTGTCTTTGGGGGTTGTTCATCAATGTGGATGATCTTTTTCTCATTGCCACTATACATGGCTGCAATCATCGAGGCTATGTCAAGGGATTCCACCTTTTTGAACTGGTATTTGGAGTACCTACTATAGGTAGGTGTTGTTGTTGTTACTAGTATTGTTTCTGTTGTTACTGTTATTTCTGTCATTACTGGTGTTTCTGTTGTTACTGGTGTTTCTGTTATTACTGATGTTTCTGTTTTCAGTGTTGCTGATGTTACTGGTGTGACTCTTGTCACTGGTGTTGCAGTTGTTGCTGTTATTAATCTTGTTTGGAAAGGAAGTGTTGAAACTGATGGCTTTTCTTGAATGTTTGCAGAAGCTGTTGTTACATTAGGAACATGGTGATTGATAGGGATCTGAGAATTTACATCATTGGTGGAGATCGATGTTTTATATGTGGTCACTGATGGTGTCTCATTGGTGGATCTTTCAGATGCTGTCTGACTGGTGTAGAGATGAGAGTTTCTCAGATCAGTTGGGATTTCAGAGGCTGTTTGAGTGGTAGAGATCTGAGATTTTAACTGCTGGGCAGGGATACCTAATGCTGTTTGATTGGTCAGGCTATGGGAAACTGGCTGAATGGGAGGAGAAACTCTTTCATTGGTTGATGGCACTGTTTGACTGGCAGGAGATATTGCTTCTGGAGATTTCAGTACTGGGGATAACTGAGTCTGACTTATGTATTTCTGTCTTGGAAGATCAAATCTGAAATGTTCAGAAATTGGTGAGCTTGGAGAATCTGGTGTCTTTGCTTTAACTTCCTGTTCATCTGTGATATTATTCTTTGTGAGTTCAGTTCTATACTGTGCTACCCGACTCCTGATAGCATGCATGCTTTCAAACTTGGGATCAGAAGAGGATACTGGTGGCGGTGATGGATTGTCTTGTCCTGTTGCCTCTACAGTTTCTGGCATTGTGACTTTAGAGTCATCTTTTTCTTCAGCTAGATGCACTTGTGATGGAGGCTTGACCACTTGTTTAGTTGTGTCAGGACTTACAAATCCTTCACTCTGAATGAGGATCTCTTTTCGTTTTTGCCAGTTTTCTCTGAGGAAATCTATTTTGGCTTTTCTGTCTGCTGCACCGCTAAAAGCGCGTCTCACCGGCCTTGTTGTAGCTCTGTCATACTGAAGCGAGTCATCAGTCTCTTCTAGGGGCAGGGGGTTTAACTGGTCAGAAAACCGTCGCTCAAAAATAGTATTGCTAGGGTTGGAGAATCTTCTGTTTCGTAATTCTTCAATGAGAGACTGTGAATGGCCTGAGTACAGCCTTTCAGAACTAGGAACCTCCTCTGGAGATGTTGGGGATTCTCTTGTGTAGCGTGGGTCTGAACTTTGTTTGACAAGGGTTCTTTGATGATAAGTCGAAATTTGAAGCTTTTTGCGGAGAGAAAACTGATCTTCTTGTCCCAGTCCACCGATGGAAAGGTCACCCTCAAGTCCATGCTGAATCTTTTCAGTGGGGTCATACCCGTTGGGGGAAACCTCTTCCTGAAGGGTTGGAGACAATGTTTCAGGTTCAGCTGTGTTCAGGGACTTCACTTCCTGCAATGTTAAACCGCTAGGTAATGTTGCTCTTCTCTTTGAAGACACAGGCAAACCAGCTCTGTCTACAGACTGAACTCTACCTGTTCTTGATGTAGACCTGGGCCGCCTATAAATTTCATCCCCGAGAGGCAAGGCATCTTCACTAGCCTGTCTGCCACGTTCCAGAATTTCCTTCCTTCTAGCTCTCAAATTTTCTCTAGCATTTTGGAACTGAGCCAAGAATTCTTTGACATCGGGCTTGTCTAACCCAAGATCAGTGTTGTGTCTTCTAGATCTTCTGTCAGCTGATCTCCGCGCTGGAGTCTTGCCTGTAGGAACATTCTCTGGTTCTTCATTTTCCTTTACAAAATTACCTTTGCTTTCAACATTACCAGCTACATTTACTGTGCCTGCTAGAAGCTGTGTCACATTTCCTACAGAAAAATCACCCAAGTCAGAAACTTCTGGAACAAAAACTTTACTCTCTTCTGAGTTAAATCGGATAACTCCAAAATTATCACCAACTATTTCCTCAATGGTTGTATTTGGAACCTCTAGATCAAAGTGCAGCTTTTTGAGAGCTACCTCTGCCATGCCAACAGAACTTCCCAGGAGAATGGGGCTCAAAGAATTGATTTCAGCATCTTTGCCAAGCTCCTGGATGTTCTTGAGCACATTCACCTCATGCAAGATGTTGTTGAGAATTTTCTTTAGTTCTGCCTTAGCCTTATCAGTTTCTGTATAGAAAAGATCATCAGTCTGTTTGCTGTCAATCTGCGATATCAGCTGATGCTCCATGCGTTTAAGATAAAACTGAAACTGCGTGGTCCTTCTCTCAACTGCCTTCTTCAAGTCCTCCTTGTGCTGGTACCAGTCAACCATGGATTGATTCACCTCGTCAATGGCATATGTGACACGAAGTGCTTCTCCCTGTAAACTCATTACTTTAGTCTGCAGCTTGTTCATGTTACGAATGGCTTCTAAAGCATTCACTGTTGACCGGCCAGCTGGTAAACCCCTATCAAATGGCTGACCAGATGCCGGACTTTGCTCAGCAACTGTATCTTCATCTTCAACTGGCTGGCTAAATTCTGGAGTTCTGAACTGTGACCGAAAATTAGACAAGGGTGTATACTTCCGAACAAGTGGTGCACTGCCAACATCCGTGCTGGATGCAGACAGTTCCAGTGACCTTCGCGGGTTTAAATGATTCAGAGATCTGGACACAAGGTGATTCTGGACTTCAGTTAAGTATTCCTGAAGAAATACAAAAGATAAATTGTTATTTGTACATGTATGCCAGTAAACAGAAGATTAGAATATTTAAGATACAAATGATAAATTGCACGATTTATCGCATTGTATATGTTAAGTGCAAACTACAGAAATAAATATATTTAACATGAAGCCCTACAAAACATCATTATAGCTTAATTGAAAAAAAACACAGTCTTGTATTTCAACATTGGAGCTGCAGTGGTGAAGCAACTATTTGTTGTGCACGCCGGTTTGAAGGTTTTGGGTTCTAGTCTACACTGAGTTGAATTTTCCTTAGCTACCAGCTTGATTTAGCCTAAAATGTTTAGGAGGAACAGTCCTAGGAAATAAAGGCGGCTGGCACGATGTTCACTCTATGACACATCAAGGGATGACTGGTATATAACCAAAAAAAAAATAATATGATAATTCTTGATATGTGACACAATACTTTGTTATTTCAAAGCCCCACTCCCTCTGTCAGTGGAAGGCCCTAATTTAACCAAACGATTGAAGGGGATTTCTGTGATTTGTGCCGGGGGAATTCTTCTCATCTGAATGGTGGCACTTTGTGTCAGTGGGTGTAATACCTCGTTGTGCAGTCGTGGTGGAGTCAAATGTCGCTCATCATTTGCCATGCGTGTCATTGGTACGAAAAGGATCTTTTACATTTTACTATGTTTCAATCTAGATGTTAGCATAGTAACTGATTAAAATATGTTTTTAACAGCAAGAGATTCTTCTGACTTCTTTAAAACAGGCAACCATCTTCTCACTGGAGACTTCTGTTAAAAAGACAACCATCTTCTCACTGGAGACTTCTGTTAAACAGACAACCATCTTCTCACTGGAGACTTCTATTAAACAGACAACCATCTTCTCACTGGAGACTTCTATTAAACAGACAACCATCTTCTCACTGGAGACTTCTGTTAAACAGACAGCTATCTTCTCACTGGAGACTTCTGTTAAACAGACAACCATCTTCTCACTGGAGACTTCTATTAAACAGACAACCATCTTCTCACTGGAGACTTCTATTAAACAGACAACCATCTTCTCACTGGAGACTTCTGTTAAACAGAAAACCATCTTCTCACTGGAGACTTCTGTTAAACAGACAGCCATCTTCTCACTGGAGACTTCTGTTAAACAGACAGCTATCTTCTCACTGGAGACTTCTGTTAAACAGACAACCATCTTCTCAATGAGTGTCAGGTACATGCTACATAAATAAATCAATATAACATACAATATAATGAGTCCCTTTAATGAAATATACAATGTTTCAATGTATGTGTTACCATGGCAGCTTTTAGTTGACTAACATATCTTTTTGAACAGATTCTTCTTGTTTCTACAAAACAAACAACCATCGTCTCATTGAGTGACCAAGGTTATTCAGTCATCATCATCATCATCATGGAAAATACACACAGTTTATTAATAGAACTGACATAATAACAAACCAAATGGTTTAGCCATGTAACAAGATTGGCATCCGGCAGGGTACCAGAAAGAGTATTGTTATATATATACAGATACAGTGGTAAGAGATCCAAAGGTCGACCATGCAAAAAAGTGGACCACAGAAATATCAGAGACACTAATAAGTACTTTATAAGAATAAAACAAAAGGGACCGTTCCAGAGATCTTTTCCTGCTCTGAGGCATTCCAGGAGTACAGAAAAGAAGAAGACATCATAACACACCTACATATGCTCTCTACATGTGCTACAAATGCTCTCTATCATATAGTTAGTTAGAGATAAATTGTAGGAATGCTGACTTTTTTTTTTTTAGAGCACTGAAAAATTTGACTGTATGCCATTCTACAAGACCTTTACAGAGAAGAAAACTGATGCATGAACAGCACTAATATCTAAAAACTGGAAAGAAAAAAAAAAAAAGCAGAGCACGAACAGCTTTAAGATCTGAACACTGGAGAAAACTGGTGCATAAACAGCACTAAGATCAGAGCACTGGAGAAAACTTGTGCATGAACAGCACTAAGATCAGAACACTGGAGAAAACTGGTGCACGAAGAGCACTAAGATCTGAACACTGGAGAAAACTAGTTCATAAACAGCACTAAGATCTGAACACTGGAGAAAACTGGTGCATAAACAGCCCTAAGATCTGAACACTGGAGAAGACTGGTGCATGAACAGCAACAAGATCTGAACACTGGAGAAAACTGGTGCATAAACAGCCCTAAGATCTGAACACTGGAGAAGACTGGTGCATGAACAGCAACAAGATCTGAACACTGGAGAAAACTGGTGCATGAACAGCACTAAGATCTGAACACTGGAGAAAACTGGTGCATGAACAGCAACAAGATCTGAACACTAGAGAAAACTGGTGCATGAACAGCAACAAGATCTGAACACTGGAGAAAACTGGTGCATGAACAGCAACAAGATCTGAACACTGGAGAAAACTGGTGCATGAACAGCACTAAGATCTGAACACTGGAGAAAACTGGTGCATGAACAGCAACAAGATCTGAACACTGGAGAAAACTGGTGCATGAACAGCAACAAGATCTGAACACTGGAGAAAACTGGTGCATGAACAGCACTAAGATCTGAACACTGGAGAAAACTGGTACATGAACAACAGCAAGATCTGAACACTGGAGAAAACTGGTGCATGAACAGCACTAAGATCTGAACACTGGAGAAAACTGGTGCATGAACAGCAACAAGATCTGAACACTGGAGAAAACTGGTGCATGAACAGCAACAAGATCTGAACACTGGAGAAAACTGGTGCATAAACAGCAACAAGATCTGAACACTGGAGAAAACTGGTGCATGAACAGCAACAAGATCTGAACACTGGAGAAAACTGGTGCATGAACAGCACTAAGATCTGAACACTGGAGAAAACTGGTGCATGAACAGCAACAAGATCTGAACACTGGAGAAAACTGGTGCATGAACAGCAACAAGATCTGAACACTGGAGAAAACTGGTGCATGAACAGCACTAAGATCTGAACACTGGAGAAAACTGGTACATGAACAACAGCAAGATCTGAACACTGGAGAAAACTGGTGCATGAACAGCACTAAGATCTGAACACTGGAGAAAACTGGTGCATGAACAGCAACAAGATCTGAACACTGGAGAAAACTGGTGCATGAACAGCAACAAGATCTGAACACTGGAGAAAACTGGTGCATAAACAGCAACAAGATCTGAACACTGGAGAAAACTGGTGCATGAACAGCACTAAGATCTGAACACTGGAGAAAACTGGTGCATGAACAGCAACAAGATCTGAACACTGGAGAAAACTGGTGCATAAACAGCACTAAGATCTGAACACTGGAGAAAACTGGTGCATGAACAGCACTAAGATCTGAACACTGGAGAAAACTGGTGCATGAACAGCACTAAGATCTGAACACTGGAGAAAACTGGTGCATGAACAGCACTAAGATCTGAACACTGGAGAAAACTGGTGCATGAACAGCAACAAGATCTGAACACTGGAGAAAACTGGTGCATGAACAGCAACAAGATCTGAACACTGGAGAAAACTGGTGCATGAACAGCAACAAGATCTGAACAGAGGGGGAGGGGGAATTAGAGCACAAATAGCAAAAAAGATCAGAACATTAGAGAAAACTGGTGCAAACAGCAAACAAGATGTGAACACATTGAGAAAACTGATGCTTGAAAAGTTTGCGAGCAGGCATGCACACACAGACAGACCTGAACACAGGAGGTAACTTGTGCATGAACAGCACCAAGATCTGATCACAGCAACAAATAACTTTATGAACATTAGAACAGGAATTATTTTATAGACAAAAAAGGTTTGGCGTACTCACCACCAATTGTCTATTATAGTTGCGTGACAAAATTATGTCTAAATCAAAGGTGTCTGTACTACTTTCAGAAAAAAAAAAAAAAAAGAAGCCATGATTATAAGGAAATGATAGGAAATGGTACAACGGCTTGGTCTCAGATATTTGGTGAAATGTTCTCTAGCTGCGAGATGGCAGAAAGAAGAACAGGATACATACCTGGCACATCCGGTTGAGAAACAAATTATCCGGGACCCCAACCACACCAATGGCAGGAAGTTGGCTTTTGTGCGAGCACAGTGGACAGACGATGAATGATCCATCCGACCCATTCGTCACAGCGTGGACAAGGCAAGGCCTGCAGAAACTGTGTAGGCACGGCAATAACTTGGGCTGTTGGTACACGGATTGGCATGCTCGGCAGAAGAGCAGGTTTGACGTTGAACTCTGAGTGTCTGTAGCAGAAGTTACTGTCTCCATGGTTTGTTTCATATCCCCTTCACAACTGCGGTGTCCTGATCATTATTTTAGTTTGTCTTAGTCGTCTGATCTGTGAAGTGCAAAAGGATGCCATGTTTATCTTATGTTTGATTGTCTTTTTTACGATGTAAGTAAAATCAAATTGAAAACATTTGAAACAACTGTTAATTAGTCTTTTAGTACCCTGTATGTGGAAGAATGGGCCTCAGTTTGAATAATGGAAAGATCGAAGTAATGGTGGTATATAAAAACAATAATTATTCCTAAATGTGTAAAAACAGTCAATGGTTTTATTTTGGGACAAGTACAGAAATGTAAATATCTGGGCACATGTATAACATCAGATGGAAGATGTATTACTGAGATAAGAAACAGAACAGGCAACTACTGCATTTTATAAAATGAAGAACATCTTATGCAATATATCTCTATCATTGAAGGTTAGAAAAAGTATTCTTGCTTGCTACATACATCCAGTTATGACATATGGCTGTGAGTCCTGGACAATCGGTAGGCAGGCTAAATAATTTCTTGGAGCCTCAGAGATGCGGTTTTACTGAAGAATGTTTAAACTACCTTGGGCAGCCAAAAAGACAAACTAAGAGGTTTTGAAACAGGCGGAAGTCCGAAGACAACTTATCACAGACATCAGAAGGAGACAGTCATCATTTTTCGGCCATTTTATGAGAAGAGGAAAAATTTAACATATTGTGACCACTGGAAAGATCTGTTGAAGAAGGGACAGAAGTAGACAACGAGAGAAGATTCTTGTTGCATGACATGGAGGTGTATCAGCACATGAACTGATACATGCTGCAGGAGATCGCGGACTGTGGAGAGGCATGATCGCCAACGCCACTCGGCGGGGCACCTGATGATGATGAGTGCCATGCATATGTTGTTTCGTTCTTTTGCAGAAAGCGTTTATTTTTTAATTTATTCTAGTATTCTTTCACAATAGATAGTTTGTTGCATGTGATTTACAGTTTGTTGCATGTGCTTTACAGTTTGTTGCAGAACCAACCCTAGCATTTGTTTGCTGTTTGTGATTTTAACTAGACAAATTAACGTTCTGTAGTCTGTCACTGCATTCTGAAAGATCGATACCACTGTTGACACCAGCACCGGGCGGTCTGCAGCCAAATCGCTTGCAGCTGGTACCGATCCCGCCATCTCGGAATTACGAAGTGCATTGACGCCTAAGCTACGGAGGCTATGTTTTATTTTTGTTAAATAAACCTGTTCTATTTCACTTGCTGCTTTAACCGTTTCTGTCATGTAGATTACATTTAACTCGTCGAGATACAAGGATGGTTGATACAGGGTGCACAACTTTGAGAGATAACGCCTTTTTAAAGTAACAACCACCCGGCACTGAAAGGGTTAAAACAGTCTTAACGACTTCAGTTACTCAGCCAAAAGTTGGACGAAATCAGTATATTTAGTAATTTACTGGTTTTCTCCAAACTTCTGACTGAGTAACTGAAGTCGCGGGACTTTTGGAGAAACTAAATAAGTTATGCTATATTATGTTATCACAGTCGACTTCACTCACATTGGGCATTCCCATGTGCGCTAAGTCCTCCGATGCAGCAACCAATTCAAGGTAATTTTCCTAACTGTTCATATCATAAAAAAGATCAAATAAAAATTCCAAGCTTAGTCCTTTTTCAGCCGCCTGAAGACCTGCTTTATCAAGGACGGTTCCTTTGCTATCTTATTTTGGTTCTGTTCCTTTGTGGTGTGCAATTATACCTGAGTTTTTTTTTTCCTTTGTTGCCTATGTTCAGTGCAGGCTTTAAGTGTCCTGGTTCCTGGATTTATCTGGTTGTCTTGTCCGCTGGCGAATCACTGATAATCTGTGCGAGCACCGAGGCAGCCATCAGTCACACAGTCCTGCCAATGAGCGTCCCACACAGGGCTCTCATCAGGACGACTGTCACAATCTCTTGTCGTGCGCAGGCGTTTAAAAAAAAAAGCAGAGGAGGTAAAATAGATTGCAAAAATAAAAAAATAAAAAAAAAAATTAGAACGCCAGAAGGTGCCAAGAGATTTTATAGAGAGGTCGGAAGATGGAGGGACACAGATTGCTAGGTTGAGAGAGAGGTCCCTGGTGCTTGAGCTTCTGATGGGATGAGGTTCTATGCAATGCCTACCCCTCGTGCGTTTTGGTCCCAACTGTTCCTATGAGAAGTTGGATATAACGTCTCCTGTCTCGGCCTTGAAGGCAGCATAGAAGAGATTCACCACGCTTTACTCCCATATCACGCAATCGTATTAGTATCAGAGATTCGTCATTATCCACTAGCCCAGTCCGTAGAGCGTTGACGATTATCCGTTCTGTTCGTACTTCACCCCACATGTGTTGGCGCATTGCTTGCCAGTTGGTCCGCTTGCTAGTGACCCTTTACGCCAGCATATACTAAATAAGCTCACAATGTGCAAGCCTCAACAGATTCATTTTCTCTTTCACAAATGCACCTTTCATCTGATATATATTTCTAATTTATTTTAAAAATGTTTAAACTATAACCCAGTGCCCTTAAAAATTATACAATTTCTGTGATTTTGCACAGATATTTTTTTATAATTTTTTTTTAAATAAAATAAAACGACACAATATTTCCATTATCCATAAATATAAAAGGCGTATGTATTTTAACGTTTGCTTAGATTAACTGGTGTAATTTAAAACGGTAGGGGCCTCAGGATTTCATATTAGTCAGGGCCTCATCAAGTCTAAATCCGGCCGTGGGAGTATGCCTTAGTTGGATTCACATGATATTTGTATGGTCGCTTAGCTGCTAAGAGTATGCGTGCGCAGCTAGCTTTGAAGTACAGTACAAGTAACTGGTAGCTAGCGCAAGTTACAGTTTCTGTTCGCTGCGAGTAGCGTATTTGTAATAAATAATCAACAATAATAGTAAAAAGTCAAATAACGCATTTTCCTTTGGCGGCGGGAAGTGTATGCGACAACTACAGCCGTTACCTGGCCAATGTGGTAATGGTGGTGGTGATGATGATGGGGATAGCGATCCCTTATGGAAATATGTTTTAGCATAAATCTACATTCAAAAGGGCTAGAGCAGCGTTTCTCAACCTGCTTGGTTGCAACCCCCCCCCCTTTTTTTTAAGGTCAAAAGACCCTTTCGCATGGGTCGCATAAGACTATCGGAAAACACGTATTTATTGAAGTTATAAAGGAAATTAACTGTGGGTCGCCACAACATTAGGGAGCTGAATTAAAGAGTCGCGGATTAGGAAGGTTGAGAACCTTTGGACTAGAGAAAGGCAATTTCCTGTTACTATGTAATAGTCACACACACACACACACAAAGCCGCGATCATTTTGATTCTGCGCACAGTAAGCCCTTCCAGACAGAATACCTAAACATTGTTTTTTAAACGGTCACTTGTACGCACACAAATATACAACCCAAAGAGGCGACAAGAAGCCTACAGTACACAATGGAGCGCAAACAAACTTGCAAAAATGTATTTCTCGTCACGCTTGACTGAAAGTTTATGGCGGCTATATGTATACACACTAAGGTTATATTCTTGCGCACCCAGTATGCGGGCACGAATGGCCTGTTTGGAGAATACACAGATTAAGACGATGTATATGGTAGCGAAGAGACGGTATGCCCTGCAACACGTGTAGATTTCGCAGCTACACTACATGTCATATCTCAGCAAAGGGCGGACAAATGGTACACGTTGTGTGTGGTAGTTGGAGCCTTGTTTCGCAAGCTTGTGTTAATATATGCTGCACTTTCTAAATAGACCAGAATATAAACGTTTAATATCAACAGAGGACTGGCTTTCCTCGCACTGGGTTTCATCTCACTCAGCTCGGTCTTCCTCTGCGGAACAGCTAACCGTCCACTAAAAATATAGAACAAAACAAAAAGAGGAATAAAAACAAGAAGAACTAACCCATCTAAAATAAATGTTTGGCTGTCAGTTTTTTTCTTTTTTTTTTCACCTTGCTTCATAAACACTTGTTTTCGCGTACGCACTCTGCTTTTTAAACTGGTTGTTCGTTCTTTTGTATTCTGACGCAGACGTTAAGAGTTGGAAGATCCGGTTTTCTTGTCTTGTTGGTTCAGAAGGATCGGATGTATTTCGGCTATTGTTCAGTGTGTATAATGTTTATCTATGCAACGGAGTTAGGGCAACCTAAGGCACATTACACTGCGTGTTTATGCAAAGTTATGTCTAACACCGCAGCGTTATCTTGAAGCTGTAAGTAAAACTTCGATTAACCGTCACTAGTTTAACTAACCGCCAGTTTATGTTATCCGCTGTCGTCTAAAAATAAAATGCATGAATATCAACAAACCGGGAAGGTTAACCCGGTCAACAAATACCCGCAGAAGTCGGATGTGTTGGCCGAAAGGTGCAACAAATATCGCAGCCATGCTGTAAACAGACACAACAACGCTATTACATCTTCGGATGAACGCAGAAGAAGAAGAAGAACAATATCAACAAACAAGACATCTGGCTCAAGGGAGCCACATTGCAAGAGAAGCTATGGGGACCGGTGGCGACCTTGACCCAGACGGGACTCAGTGTTTACCATGACTGATGTCGAACGTAGAAGAAGAAGAAGAAGAAGAAGAAGAAGAAGAAGAAGAAGAAGAAGAAGCGAGACATCCTTGAAAGGATTCACAGAGTACTTGTACAACATACTGTATCAAGCTGGAAGTGACTGTACTGTACAGTGAAACAATGCTAACAAAGTGCATCGACTGTTTGGTGTGCAAGAAGAGGCACATGCAACACAGATCCCACATCTGTGTAATATACGGAACATCGCCGCCAGAAAGCTTAAGCCCTAACGACCTATAAGGAGATGATGATTAGTTGCGTATCCTTTACAGGACGTTGCGGAACCAAACCCAACAGATCCTGGCTGTTATGTGGTTTTTCTAGGCAAATTTACCTCCAGTAGTTTGCCATTGCTCCCTGGACGGTCGGCTTTCTTTATACCACTGTCGAAACCA